TCCAGCGGCTTCCTCGCGCAGGAGGCGGCGGCCCCGTGGCCGCGGCGGCTCGAAGGGCGGGGACGAGAACGGCAAGCACTACATCGTCGCTGACGGCATGGACATCGACAAGGGGTCGGCGGGCGAGGTGGCCACGGGGGCTGGCGCCCCGCCTCAGCCGATGCTGGAGGACGACGCTTGGGCCGACGAGCTGCCCGTGGTGATGCAGGCTCGTGGCCCGCCTGCCAGCACAGACCAGCGCGAGGGCAAGGGCAAGTACGCGGGCAAGGGCGGCGAAAGCGGCGGCAAGGGCAAGCTTGGCCACCTCGAGGTGTGGCAGCTGAGGAACCTCGTCGTCCGCCTGCGGGAGCGCGCTGGGCTGCCTCCCGCTCCCGAGACGGCCCCCTTCGACCACGGCGTGCTGGTCGCAATGGCCGTCGAGCTCGAGGAGTTGGCGGCCTCGTCCGACGGCACGCGTGGCGGGGGCTCCGGAGCGGCTCGTGGCCGTCGAGCGCGTGGTGGTCCACGTGGCGATGGTCCAAGGCCCGGGGCGGCCGGCCGCGGGAGGAGCAGCGGGGGGGGGTGGTAGGCGGCCTCGCCGCTTCGCGTGCAGGGCCCTCGCCCCTTCCCCCTCCCGCGGGCATGGACGGCATTGATAAGTCCGTCCACGTGTGAGCTCGACTGCATCGAGTTCGCGGTCGGGGGGTCCTGGCACCTCAGGTGGTGACCAGGCCCCCCGCGGCGGGAGGCGGGGTACACGCGCCCTCCTGAGGCTCGGTCATCCTCCTCCTCCTCCTCCTCCTCCTCCTCCTCCTCCTCCTCCATCTCCATCTCCATCTCCATCTCCATATACAATTACTCAATATGAATACTACTCTCCCTCTTCCCGTGCTGGGAGGAATATTCGACCCCCCCCGCGTACTGTTTTTTACACACAGGATTCCCGGGAGTTGGGTTTTCGCCTGCGTTTTTTTTTCAAAATGCTACTCTCGCTGGGGCGCCGGCCTCATTTCTGCTCCCGAATCGTTCCGAATCGTGCTCCCGCTGCAGCGTGGGCCTCATTTTCGGATCGGTGTTTTGCCTCCGTCGTTCAGGATGGCGTTCTCGCCCCAGCGCGGGCCTCTTTCTCGCGCGCCCATCCGCCCGCCACACCGCGCCGCACCACGCCCCGCCCCGCCGCACGCACACCCACCGCCACTTCCACCCACCAACGCACGCACGCACGCACGCGGTGCACCACCACCGCGCACACGCCACCACCACCGCAGCTACCCCCCCATCCGACCACCATCCTACACCGCGTCATACAACCACATCACACTCGCCGCCACACACAGACACACACGCCAGCACGCACGGCAGCACACCACACCACACACCACATACACACGTCACACACAACACACACAACACGCACACACACACACACACACACACACACACGCACCACCACCACCGCCACCGCCACCACCGCCATCACGCACGTACGCACCTGGCCCGCCACCAAACCACCAAGACGCCACACCACGTCACACCACAGCACACGCGCACACACGCACACACACACACATACACACCACCACCACAACAACCACAACCACGCACACACGCTCGCACGCACGCGCACCACCACCCACTACGCACACGCGCGCGGAGCCACAGGTCCGCTACGACACGCGTCCGCGGATAGAGAAAATCAGCGCCATGGTAAGGGATGGGAGGGAGGGGTAGGATGTCAGATGTTGACGCGAGCGCACCTAACTTGGCCCCCCCCCCTCTTGGACACCCCCCTCTTGGCCGCTCCCGAACAACCTGGCTGTTGCCCCTCGAGAGCTCAAGAGAGGGAGAGGGCGGGGGAGAGGAACCTCGGGGGGAGGGGTCGGAGGCTGTCGGCAGTCTGGGAAAGTTTCCGCAGCCCAGGGTGGTCTCGTAAACATGGGAAAATATGTGAAAATATGGGGAATCGTGTTAGTTGTGTATTTATTGGTGCGTCCCAGGGCCCCTTCAATATAGCATCGCCGGCCCCACCTGCTGCTCCTCCTCGTCCAGGCTTGAGCTCGGCGTCGCGCACAGAGGGGGTCCCGGGCCTCTTCTCGTCGGGGAAGCAGATCCCGGCGGGGCCTGTTGCTGCCACGACGCCGGAGGTTCGGGGTGCCGCGTGGCGCCGGGGGGGGGTCTAAGAAAGGGCGAAGGGCCCAGCGAAGGCAGGGGCATTCTTATCAGGAGGGACAAAGACACACAGACACAATTCATTTTCGTTTCACAGAGCATATGGGAAACTATGGGAAGGGGGGGAAGACAAAAACCCAGAAAATATTGAGAAATATGGAGAATCCTGTTATCTGTGTGTCTTTATTTGTGTGTCCCAGGGCCCCTTCATCTTAGGAGGGCCTCGGGGCTTCCAGGGAGACCTCTGAGAAGCCGGGGGGGGCGTCTGTGGAGGACCCTGCTCTGGTAAGGACCCCCCAGGGCCCCTGGGCCTTCTTCGAGGGCCACCCGGATCTCTGAAGCACTGATATCTTCGATCCCCGAGCGTTTCGGCGTCTCGTTCGGCCCCTCCAGGGCAGGGGGGGGCGCTGTCGGCCCCCGTGGCCCCTCAAGAATGTCTCAAGGGTGACAGTTGTCTCTGGGCAACATCCAGGCCTCCCAGATGGGGTCAGAGTGGATGGGGTCGGAGGATGGCGCCGCATCGCCGATGCATCGCCGATGCGGCTCGATGTGCAGCCCGATGTGCTTCACGTCGACGTCGCCATTGCATCGCCGGTGCATCGCCGATGCATCGCCGGTGCATCGCCGATGCATCGCCGGTGCATCGCCGATGCATCGCCGGTGCATCGCCAGTGCATCGCCGATGCATCGCCGATGCATCGCCGATGCATCGCGGATGTATCGGCGATGCGGTGCGATCCTCCGACCCCATCTACGCCGACCCCATCCAGGAGGCCTCTGCAGGAGGAGCCGGGGCCCACGCCGTCGAGTGTTCCCGGGTCCGCCGAGCGCCGGTCTCGGCCCAGGCAGGCTCAGGAGGAGAAAAAACACACAGACACAATTAATCGTCGAGTTCCCAGAAAATATGGGAAAATATGGGAGGTGGGGGGGAAGACGAAAACCCAGAAAATATGCGAAAATATAGGAACTCCTGTTAGTTGTGTCTATTTGTATGTGTGTCCCAGGGCCCCTGCACAGGCGAGCGTCGGGCCCCTTCACAGGCGAGCGTCGGATGCAGCTCCTGGGAGTTTTCATTCTGACTTTGCCCTGGTCCGGAAATCCAGCTCCATCTGGCGCAATCCCCGCTTCATCCGCGGCCCAGCCTGGCGTAGTGGCCCCCCAATGGGGCTTAATCCTCCTCATGCTTTCCGGCGAAGGCCTCCCAGCAGCTGCCTCCGAGCGCCGAGCGCCGGTCTCGGCCCAGGCAGGCGAGCGTCGGGCCCCAAGAGGCGGGTGTCACTGCGGGCGGGGGTCAGCCTCCTCCTCCTCCTTCTCCTTCCTCCTCCTCCTCCTCCTCCTCCTCCTCCTCCTCCTCCTTCTCCGCCGCCTCCTCCTCCTCATCCCTTCCTCCTCCTCCCTCCTCCTCCTCCTCCTCCTCCTCCTCCTCCTCCTCCTCCTCCTCCTCCTCCTCCTTGCACAGGATGCTGCAGGGCCAGGGGCGCAGTGGCCCGGGCTCGGGCGCAGGATCCTGCAGGATCTTGCAGGAGCCTTCGCGTTGGCCCGGGCTTGGGTGCAGGATCCTGCAGGAGCCTGCAGGATTCTGCAAGGCCTCACTGACCGGGGGCTGGATTGGCCCGGGTCAGGAGATCCCCGAGAGCGTCGGGCCTGGGATCAGTTACCCAGATCTTCGAAGGCACAAGCTTCGAGTAGGACATCGATTGCAGGATTGATTCAGCCCGACATTGGATTGTTTGTCGAGTCGTCCAGCACATACGTAGAACGTCTGTAGATCTCTACAAACACGCTGCGTATTCTTACAGACATCCGACGAAGTCATTAAGTTTGGAGTACACAAATTCCATAGTCGATCCCTTACTCGAAAGTTGTTCAAACCCGGTGTTTTTCTCGATGCCAGCTCTCCAGGGCTGTCAAATCGAGTCCGAGTAGATGGAGTCGGAGGATCGTGCAGCATCGCCAAGGCAGCGGCGATGCGGCTCGATGCGTATCACGGTTTCCTCCGCGCCGACGTCGCCGATGCATCGAGGATTCATCGGCGATGCGGCGCGATCCTCCGACCCTATCTATTCGGACCCCAGGTGGGAGGCCTCTAGCTTTGGGCCCAAGGACCAGCGAAAGCGGGTTCGGGGCGAAAAGATACCCTCTAGGGAAGGGGTCGGAGCTCTCTTGGGGCCTCGCATGAAAAAGAGCACATCGTCGGATGTCTGGTTGTGATCCCTCGCGTATGTGCCTATCCAGGGCCCTCCTCCTCCTCCTCCTCCTCCTCCTCCTCCTCCTCCTCCTCCTCCTCCTCCTCCTCCTCCTCCTCCTCCTCCTCCTTCTCCTCCTCCTCCTCCTCCTCCTCCTCCTCCTCCTCCTCCTCCTCCTCCTCCTCCTCCTCCTCCTCTCTCTCCTCTCCCCCTCCCTGGAGTGGTCTTGGTCATGATCGGTGTGGGTGGATGTGGTCGGAGCGCCTCCCATCAGGAGGAGTCCACGAAGGAGAAGGCCTTGCGACTGCTCCCTCGGCGGGGGGGAGCTGGAGGAGAAGGAGGATGAGGAGAACGAGGAGAAGGAGGAGGCGGCGAAGGAGGAGGAAAAAGATTAGGCGATTGCAAACATGGATCAAAGGGGCGTGGATTGGCGACGGGCCCCGTTTCCATGGGAGATCGCGGAGTTCTGCCGCCGAACGAGGCGGCACCTGCCGCCATTCCGGGGAGGGCACCTCCCCCGATCCATGGATTTGGCGACCACGCGCCAAATCCATGGATCGCTCACCCATGTTTGCGCGCCCCCGAGAAGAGGCGGAGGCAGTGGAGGAGCTGGGACGAGAAGAACAGGAGGAGGAGGAGGAGGAGGTCCGTAGCCATTTTTGCTCAAGGCAATTCAGGTGCCAGCGCACATTTCCGCATCCTTTTTGTCAACCTTCCCAAGATATGTCGTCATTCTGAGGGCGCGTGCGACGCAAACGAGAGATGCTTGGCAATGGTTCTGCGCAGGTGTCTACTCCTCGTCGTGCAACTGCTGGCGGGGATGCTGGGCTTCTCGCCGCATGGAAGGCCGCACCTACGTTCCCCAACAGCCAGAGCCAGGAGTTCGTCTCTCCTCCTGGTCCTCCTCGCCATGAAGGCGGAGGCGCTGACGATCCCAAGCGCCGCAAACAAGCTGATGCTGCCGATCTGCGCCGCGACTTCGATTCTCTCAAGGGACACGTCGACAATAGCATGGCCAACATGCTCGAATCCGTGGGCAAGGTCTCAGAGAGCGTCACCTCAGCCATAAACAGTTTGCAGCGCACCGTCAGTGATTCGTACAAGACACGGCACTCGCAGATGGAATTGCGGGTATTGAACATCGAGGGCGCCCAGCGTCTACACGAGGCGCGACTGTCTAAGACTGAGCGCGAAACCATTGCTCTTCGTCAGGAAGTCGAAAGAACTTGCTGGTCCGCAAGGAACAACCCCCCGTCAAGCAGTTCATTCCTGGCGGTTCCTTCGATCGCGAGATCGATGGAGGCTTCATCATCGTTCGCTCAGAGCTTCTGGTCACAGCTGCTGCAGTTGCCGACGGGTTCCGCTCATGGCTCGAGGACTGCAACATCACCGAGGACGACTGGCTGGTGGAGGGCGAGCCGACTAGCAAGAAGTACACTATGAGGTTCACGGGAGCTGCTGGATTGGCGTCGATACGGGTTTCGCAAGCTTCGGGAAGTCTTCGTACCAAGCGCACGGACGGGACTCCTGGCTCGAACTGGCGGAGGTTCCACGCGAGGTCGACGACCAGTGAGCAGACTGAGCTGTTCGTGGGCCCCGACAAGAAAGCAGCCACCATCAAGAAGGAGACGGCGCGCAAGACATCTAGACGGGCTCTCGAGGCCCACCTTCCCAATCGCAAGTTTTACATTGACATGTACAAAGGGGGAGATCAGCACGAACTGGCGCCCGCACATCGAAGTCACACCGCTCGCCAACTCAGACGAGCCGCACTCGGAGCTCGCAGGCGCGACCTTCGGCACGGAGGGCACCGACCGGCAGGAGGTGCCCCAGCTCGCACATCGCGCCGCGCGAGGAGTTCCTAGCAGCTTCTTTGCCCCGTGGCATGGATCATCCTCTCCTCTTCCTTCTGTCTCCTCTTCCTCTCGCGCTGTCACTCGAAATTCGAATGCCCTTTTTTCCGCCACTCTGCCGCCCTCCGCGCGAGGGAGATCAGATCTATCCGGCGCTTGCTCAGGCATGGTAGCATCGTCGTTCTGCTAGAAGTGCACGGAGCGAAGCCAGCGTTGAATGATCTCCTCTACCACTTGGATCTCCCTTTTCAAGCCTCTCTCTCTTTTCACCCCAACCCTCTTGCCGGCGCCGTGGCCATTATTTTTCTTCGGTTCCCCCCATCCCGATAGAAACGCGCACGTTTCGGCATTGGGCGACCTCGAATCTCCCCCTTCCCTCTGATACCTGGGCGAGCGCTCGTTGCGAAGTCCAGCGCGTCGGGCGATGCTTGCACGACGACGCATTGCAACATCCACAATTTTGGACTGAGCTGAGAGGAGCGTCGGGAGTCTCTGGAATCCCCCAAAGCGCCGTTCGAAGTTGCCCCGGCGACCCCGTCAACAATTTCGCGTTCATGTCCGGGGACCTGAACCTTCCCGCCTTCGCCTCAATCCCGCTCAACTCCGGCTCGTCCCCGGTGAATGAGGCCGTTGAATTTGAACCTCGCTCTCTCCCCCCCGAACGGCGCCCTGCCCTTCAACGCGCGGTCGAGTTCGAGTTGTCTTCGCCGGCCCATTTCAATCCACAGAAAAATCTGTCGTTCACGACGTTCACCTCGCTGCCTGGCCGGGCCCCCCCGATTCGCGCCGGGGGGGGGCGCAATGGGCCGGCCCGAATTCTTAGTGGCGGGGCGCATCTCAGATCACGCCGCCGCGGCCGCGGCACTTCGAGCGCGGGCCGAATAGCCAGTGCAACAACGCCCTGTGCCGCGAGAAGTGTTTCAGTCTCCCGCATTCCAGCGATATGCAGCTGACGCTCGACGCAGCTGACTACCAGTCTCTCTCTCCCCCCCTCCGACTAGAGCACCTCCAGATGGCGACGCTGGAAAGCGCTAGACACGCTTGCAATGCAATTATCCGTCGGCGCCCTGACCCCCCATTCGCTCGATATCTCACGGCGCGCAGCATGGCCCGTGCAGTCTTCCGCCAGCAGTGGCAGTTCGCTTCAAAGATCTACCGTTCCCATTTGTTGGTGAACGCCTCCTCCTCAACTACGGCGCGAAGTCCCTCGCCCTCGTCTCGCCCTCGCTCTTCCGGCTCCTCGGCGATTCTCTTCATAGAGAAGTTGCCCGCCGTGCCCGCGTGGGCCCCCAGCCCAGCGCCCAGCAGCTCCCCGACCCCTTCAAGCTGGATCGAAGTCGCAAGCGTCAGCGACGGATCCAGAGGATGGCGCAGTTCTGGTCGCCTTTTGGTCGCGCACCCCGCTCGCTGGCACTCGCGCGCCCGGTCGCGGCGCCACCCAGGCCCCCCCGCAGATCTTTGCTGTTCTGGCCACGCATTGGGGCCATGTTCATGGCGAAACCTTATGATTTTAATGCTGGGGGGGAGATATCTCGACGCGGTCCCGATCCGACTCGATCGCTCTGGCCCCCCCTTCCTTCTTTCGCTCACTCTCAGGCGTTGACGGGGAAATGTTCAACGCAGCGCCCCAGGCCCAGACAGGATATTGCATGCTGCGTGGCAGCACGCCCCTGGAGGACTTGACCCCCCGCGGGGCTGCACGCGCCGGCAGCTCGACGGTCGGCGCGGGGCCCCCAATTACAACGAAGTCTTAGGAGCGTTCATCCCGAAAGGGGAAGAGGACGAAGACTCCACCGGGCGTTTTTCGGGCTGCCTCGGACACTGGGCCGGGCATAACAACTGCGATAATCCGATTATCACTGCCATGGCGATCAAAGCGTTAACGAAAGCCTTCCCCGCCGGCTCGGCGGGGCCCCAGCGGGGTCACGTCCCTTCGCGAAACTTCGGGAGCGACGTCGTGGAGCTGGACGCCCTCGCCAGACACTAGCATGGAGCTTGGCATTGAGCGACGCTTCCCTGCCCTCGCGAGCTTCGGTTTTGACGGTTTTGGCCAGGCGCCCCCTTCTATGTGCCAGCGCTGGATGCCCCAAGCTCTGAAGCGCACGAAAGCCCCCCCCTGGTTGCACTGATTGAGCTGCTTTACGGGAATGTTGCTTGCGTCGGATGTCTTGAGGGCGAGATGCAGCACCTGCGCTGGATCTCGAGCGGCGTCATCCAGGGCTGTCCTGCCAGCGGCATTTGTTTTGCCATGGGCGCCGACCTTTTCATGGCCAGACTTTAGGAGACCATCGAGCGCCCGCTTCGGGAAATTGCCCGAGTATGTGCCGACGACATCGGTCTCGTCATCTTTCGCCTGGCCGACTTGCCTTTTGTCTGGCTCATCTTTGAGGGCGCGGCCACCCTTGCACACCTCATCCTGAACCGCAGGAAGTGCAATATAGTCCTCTTGCTCGATGAGGTCCCGGAGGCTCTCGCAGGGCCACGCAGGGCGAAGCCGCGCGGTTCGTCTCCCAGTGGGCCGACTTCGTGATTGCGGAGCCCGTTCTTCATCTAGGGGTTCGGCGTGACCCGGCGGTTGTTCCCACCACCTGTTGGGAAAAGCCGTTCAATAAATTCCTCGCCAGGGCTCGAGAACTCTCGAACCAGGGCCCCCCCTCCCTCGTCCACTGCGGTACTTTATGATTATAGGGTGCTGTCCGTTCTGTCTTACGCGGGCCAAGTCCAATCCCTCCCAGCCCCCCTCCAGAATAATTATGATAACGAAACGAGTTCAAGATCCTCACGAGCCTCTTTCAACCTCCCCTACTGTCGTCTCTCTCATGGATCCTGGTGTAACTTGGGCACGTGGGGTGGGCCCAATTTTCAGAGCATGCGAGTGCTTTCACTCGCCCAACTTTTTCGTGCCAGCAAAATCACGTTCACGTCGTGGGAGCTTGCTTACCGCAGTATGTGCGAGACCGCAGAAATGCACCTCTCTGTCGCCATGGCTGTCTTGGCTGCTCTGCTCAAATCGTGGCGCGGCGAATGGATCACACCAACAGCCTTTCGACAGGAAGGGTATCGACGATATTTCGGCTGTGCGTCTGCCTGCAATTTCAGGCACCTGTGGATCTGTCCCCAGTTCATCCGCCGTCTCACTTGTCTTTCTGGCTCTTCCCCCGCCCGCTGCCCTGTTGCTCGCCTCGGTCTTCTCTCGCCTTCTCGCGTTTCGCTTCTCCCCACTGCGTTTGCGTTCTATCTTCATCACGAATGCGGTCGGCACCCGTCGCCGATCGAACCAGATCTCGAGCGAGCCATTTGCAGGCGCGTGCGTGCGCGGGTGGCAAACCCTACCACGCGCCAGAGAGGTGGGTGACCGAGTACTCCGCTTTGGCTACGCCCGAGGAGGAAGAGGAGCTGGAGGTGGCGGAGTGGTGTGCCGTCTCTTGCGCGTCTCCCCGCATTCCCGTGTGTTTCGTGCGTCTGCTCATGTAGCCCATTCTGACGTGGCACGTTGCAGCGCGGCTGTATAGGGAAATCCGAAATCCAGCAGGAGCTCCGCCCAGTTTCGTGCACTGCCGAAGCTCATTAAAAAGGCGACGACGACGAAGTTTCGCCGAATCCATCTTCGATCTCGAGGCACAATGGAAGACCCTGGCGCGTCGCCTGTAGATCTTTACATATATATATATATATATATATATACATATATATATATACACACATAACACGGGCGCATGGGGCCCCGGGCCTTGGGCCCCCACGTTTTCAAAACTCCCCCCCTCCAGCAACCCACTTTCGTCCCCTGCGCCAGCGGACCTTGTGGAACGCTCCAGGGCGTTCCCTGCGCCTCCAGGACCTTCCACGGCGCCCGCAGCGGACGCCCACATGCCGCCAAGACGGCCCAGGAGCGAAGCAAGCCGCCCAAGATGGCCCCAAGAGGCCATTAAGATGCCCCGAGAGCGTTCCGAGGGGACCTCCAAGAGGGCCCCAAGAGACCAAAATCAAGGATTTCCACACCAGTGCGTTTTTGTTCCTTGTCGTTCGCGTTTTCCCGTTTTCAAGAGTCCGACATTCCAAGATTGAGTCTCCAACATCGCCCCTGGAGGGACCAAGAGGCCCCCACGGGGCCCCCAAGACGGCCCCAAAACGGCCCCAAAAGCGCCGAAGACGGCCCAAGAGGGCTGCAGGACGGCCCCAGAAGGGGCCCAAGAGGGGGAACACGAATCGACAAGTCCAGCTTTCCGCCCCAAGAGGCCCCTAGAACCCTAGGAGGCTCCAAGAGGCCCCAGGAGGCCCCAGAAAAGCCCCCCAAGAGACCCAACAGAGGCCCCAAGAGGCCCCAGAACGGCCCACGGGAGGCTTCAGAACTGCTTCCAAAAGGCCCCCGAAAGCCTCCCACGATGTCCCAACGAACTAACAGACCTCTAACCCACAACTCAGAAACGGCGGCGGGATGGGCCGAGGGCACCAAGAGGCAACACGTATCGATTTCCAATACAGTGTTTCAGCGATTTTCGTGGTTAAACTGCTCCGCGGTTCCAATTTTCTCCGACAGCCCAAAAGCCCCCCAAAATCTTTCAAAACGGCCCAAGAGGCTCCCGACAGGGCCCCAAGACGGCCCAGAAGGCCCCTAATACAGCCCAGGAGCGCTCCAGCCAAGGAAGTAATACAGCCCCAGGAGGGACACAAGAGGCAGAGCTCGAACTCACAGAGCGAGCCCCCCCCCCCCGAAGACGGCCCCCGAGACCGCCAGCAGGGCCCCGACAGGTTTCCAAGAGGCCACAGGAGCGCCCGAGGGCCTCCCACCCCCAGAAGCACGAAGCGGCCCCCATAGAGGCTCCAAATATGACGAGAGACCTCCGAGATACCTTCCAGAAGACCAAACAAGCTTTCAAAGAGCCCTCCAGTAGCGCCCCCAAAAAGAGATCCAAGGAGATGACCAGCATGGTTTTGCCAAGCTGCCCTGCGCACCTTCCTGGAGCCTTCCTGGGCGCTTGCAAAAAAAAACGTTGAGTATTTGCAACTTTCGGTTCTTTTCGCAGTCCCACTACGCTGCTTCTCACCCTTCTTCTCATGACCAAAGTGGTAAACATATAAAGCGTCCCGGCCGCATGGCCGATGGACCGGGGGCTACTTGTGACAGTTATTGCCCGGCAGCCTGGGGTGGGGGAATTCTTTACTTGTCTTTGCCCCCGTAAGAAGTCTGTGTGGCAATCTAAACGGTCGCCGACAGGGACCAGCCGACCGGCCAGAGGATAGATTGCGAGATGGACGAGGAGCAGGTGGAGGAGGAGGAGGAGAAGAAGGAGAAGGAGGAGGAGGAGGAGGGCGAGGAGAAGGACGAGCTGGTGCGTTAGCGTCATATGGATATTTACCAACGGCGGAATCGGGGTATTCACCAATTATTTTGCACACCTTATCCCGAATCCTCGGGTACGTACGGCCTCTAGCGTTATTGTGCATTTGATTGCATTGTTGTTATTTTGGTTGCTTTTCGAAAGGTGTGCACAGGCATGGTTCCGCAAACGGCATTGCGTTGGCGAGCATTGTTATGCTTGGCATTTGGTTGTATTTCATCGCATTGCCTTGCCTTTCATTTGCTTTGTTTCTCTCTGCATGGCGCTCGCATCTGGTTTCCATGGCACTGCGTTACATTGCAGTGCCAGTGTGGGCACTCCATTATGAACATTAGATTCACTGCTTGGCATTTGTTCGCATTGACTTGTATGGATGTGCTATTGTGTGTGGTCGATCTCTGTTCGGCCCGCGTTTGTTGACGCTTCGGTGTGCCTCATATTCACGCAACTTGTGGATAAATATTTCAAAGGATGTGTGAACTTGTCGCGGCCTGGGGCTTGCTAGAACCTAAGCGCGCGCGAAGCGCGCGCTTTTCTAGTAAATAGTGGCAGATCGTAGTTATGCGAGGCTTACCTAGAGAAGACACCGCGAAGCCAAGCGAAGAACACCAGCAAGATATGCAACTGGTCTGGGAAGTGGATAAGTGCACGAAAGTAAATCAGATGAAGAGGGAGGAAGGTGCTAAAGCGTCAATCCGAAAGACTGGCGACGCCTTGTGCAAACATGCGAAGGAAAAGGAGAAGGGCAATCAGGAGGAGAAAGGTGTGGAGAAGAAGGATGGTGATTGCGATGAGAAGGAACATGAGGGTGATCAGGACGAGGGGAGCGGATAGGAAAATAAATCAGGAGAAGCAGAGGCAGCATGATGCAAAAAAGCGAAGTCGAGAGGACAAATGTTTCAAGAAGGTCAGCCCTGCCCTCATCATCGACATCTGCCGCTGCTGATGGGGAGGAGGAGCCTACTGCTGACGAAGCTTCTGGTGCTTCTGAGCAGGTCCTGCAAACTGGCTCCTGCTGACCTCAAGGCGGCAGGGCTACTCCGACGGGTACGCCTTGGTGGAGAACGCTCTGGAGGAGGTCGCCGATGCCAGCGGGGACGAAGGGCGCTGCAGGACCCCAATGACATGCTCCCGAGCGCCATGGACAGACGCCATCACACCTCCGAGGAGGCGGACGAGCTCCAGCTCGGCAGGGCGGCCTGTCGGGGAGAGCCGGGACGCCGACGGGCCGGCAAAAGGTGGCTTGAGCGCGACCGCGGAGTCCGTGGCCGAGGGGCTTCGCAGAGCTCGCGCAGTGGCCCCGCGCTCGGGCCGACACGGGCTCCGTCGACTTGCGGGCCCTCCCCTCTGCGTTGTCGAGACTCGCCGCGAGGAGCGAGCTCGGGCGCGCGAGCGCGTCCTCGCACCGCGGCGCTGGCGTCCGGGACAGGCCCGGCGATGGGCGCACCGCCGCCGGCGATGGCCTCGCGCAGGAGAGGTCGCGGGATCTCTGCGTACCAAGCCCGCCAACAGGGCCACGCGCGGCACCACACCAGTTCTTGGAGCTCGTCTCCCCGCACTGGCACGCAGTTGCACGGAGGGAGGCGCCGCGAGTGACAGGACCGGTGGATGTGCGGCTGGAAATGGGCACGGGGGCATCAGCGACCTCCACGTTCCGTTGGCCACTCCGTCCTGCATATAATGTCGCCTGCAACGGCGACTGGTGGTTCAAAGGCAACCCTTCTGAAGGATGCCAGCAGTGGAACGGCCATCGCTGCAGCCCAAGAGTTGCTGATTAAAGGCGACGGCCCTTGAGCAAGTTCCCTTCGCGTTTCGCGAAGTCCTATCTGGCCGCGGCAGATTCGAACGTCTACCTGGGGCCAACCTCTCGTGCGCTGCCCCCTCCAGACCCAGGGACAGGGGGTAGGGGCCAAGGGAACGAGGAGGTTGGAAGAACAAGCTCGTTAAACCGCCTACGCAGAAAGGGCTGGTGAGACTCCGCCGAGCCACTCGGTGCGAAACGCCTCCAGAAAGCACCCGACCACTTCGGCACCTGCCCCACTTCACGTGGTCAGATTTGCCCTCATGTGATATTTTGCGGGCGGTGCGAGGTCGGCCCGTCCTTTGGTTCCCATCCGCCGCCTCCTCGCCCTTGAAATTCTGGGCGGGCTTCCAGAGCTTAGCTGAATGAAGCAGACAATTAAAAATACTCCTCCACATCCTCCTCATCCTCGTCTTCCTCCCTCCCCTCCCCTCCATCCATCCATCCCCCTCGCCGCCAATTCTGCCCCCTCCTGCTCCCTCATCCCTCCCCCCTTCCCCCTTCCTCCATAATCCCCCCGCCTCTTCATCCTCGTCCTCTCGTCTCTGTTCCTCCCCCCTCCAGCACATGGTTGTGGGTGATGTACAACTAGTTGCTGCTGGCCCATGCGTACAAGTAGCGTGGACTCGCTGCATGTGTCCAGTTTGCTCCAGGGCAGCCCGCCGATTGGAGTAGGGTCGCGCTCCTTTCTCGAGTCCAAAAACAAAAAAAACTAAACTCCCTCTCCTCGTCCTCCCGCCTCCCCCCCCATCCCCCCTTCCTCTTTTCGTCCCTCGTCCTTCCCTCCCCCCCTGACTTCACCCCCCTCCTCGCTCCTCCCCCCCCGAGGCCCGCGAATGGCAGCGCCAGCTGCGCGGGGAGGTGCGCAGGCTCGACCGGGACATCGGCAGGATGAGGCCCGGCGCACCCCCCCCCGCCGTGGCGACTGCTCGTCCCCGTCGTCCTCCAAAGAGGACGAGCAGTCGCCGAGTCGGGGCTCAAGAGATCGGGGGCAACGCTAGGGGGGGAATAGGCATAGGGGGGAACGCATCGACCCCCGATCGCCCATTGATCGCCGATAGGGGCCCCACAGCCCCAACCCGCACAGGAAGCTGCGGATTCAATATCACGGGCCTATCGCCGATCTATCGGCGATGTGTCGCCGATTCCAGGTCCATGCATCCCCCCCTTATGCCAGTCCCCCCCGATCGTTGCCCCTCGAGAGACGGGGGGTCGGTGCAAACGGGGGTCCGCCAGGGCGCCGGATATCTTGCCGGATCCTGCAGGGCCGGGGTCGCCCGACCCGCGCCTGGGTGCAGGACTCTGCGGGATCAGAGAGCGCGTTCCTCGGGGTTGGACAGACCTCCTACCCTGACACGTCGATTGGTGAATTGGCCGTTTTCGGTTTGCGAGAGGGCGTCGC